TAAAAATATAAATCGTTTTATAAAAGTTATTGGTTGCTGTTGCTTATTGGTATTGTTATTATTATTAATTTTATTATTATTTTACTTTGTCTGCTTGTTGCATTGTATTGTACTATAAATTATCCCGGTTCGTGCATGGCACGCTCGTCTATTGCAAATGAAACTGTGGCATAAAATCTGATTACCGATTCCCGAATCGAGCTCGGTCAAAATTCAACTATAAACACTTATGGATTAGTTTTGGTATTGGTTTATATGTATATATATTTATATTTGTATTCGGTCATGGGTAAATATTCAGTTATTCAGTTATATTCTGTGTAAAATTTGAACTGAGGATGGCTTAAAGACTCAACACAAAGGAATATGTATTCTCTCTCTCTCTCCTATATACCTCGATCCCTATATGTATGTATATATAGCGTATATATCTTTGATATGTGTAGACAACCCAAAAAAAGTTGCTGCTGGAAGTGCTCTGTGTTGTTGTTGTGGTTACCGATCATCTCCGTATTGTCGCTTCTAATTGGGCTTCGTTTCTTTCGTTTTTTTTTTTCAATTTTTTGTTTGGTTTTATCGCTTTGTATATTTGAGTAAAAATATTTATTGTTGTGGTTGTGGAAAACTGTGAGAGATTAACTCAAAAATATCACATACGAGTTGCGTATGTTTCCCTGGCTATTGTTGGCTGTTAAAACTAAATGGCAAATTCTCCTCATTCCTGTCTTCACTGTTATCGGTTACTTAGGTATTTTGTTATCGTTGTTGTTTTTTGTTTTTATTATTTGGTTATCGTTTTTGTTTGGTGTTTTATGCAACTTTCACTTTATATTTTTATACTTTCTCATGTGCTTTTTGTTCGATGATGTTGTTGTTGTATATATATCAATTTGAATTTCGAATTTCCATGGGCAATATATTTGCATTGCGGCCGAAATGTTGGGTTTACGTCATAAGCCAAAAGTTTTAACATCTCCCTTCATAAACTTCCAAACTAAGGATGCGTAATATTGATTCCTGATTGATCAACTGAATAAATACTATTAGTTACTCTGTCTGCTGTTTTGCAGAATTGCTCTGGCAAGAATTTTGATCATTAAACTAAAGTCCGTTGGTGCGGGCGCACAGTGCATGCCGAAAGTATACGCACTGTGGGCCGCTCTATTGCAGTTTGTTGAACAGAAAGGTGTGGTGCAGGTGGTACTGCACCACTTTGTAATCTCCTATCTCCTCTTCTTCTCCTTCATCTGCTTCCTCCTACGTCTTTTTCTGATTCTTCCTACGCCAAATAAGTGATAAAAAGTTTACTTCCAAACGGATGTGTTTTGTTCGGTTTTTCGATATTAATTTTAGGGCCAAAAAGTTGTTGGAAATTTTGAGAATCGCGCTTGCTACTAAAAAAACGCAATCATTTTCTTTTTTTTTTTTAAATATTCATCGCCGTGTTAATAGATTTGTTTTCGTTTTCATTTATCGTTTTTTGTTCTTTGTTTTTTTCGCTTTTATATTATACCAAAACTGCAAATTTATGTGTGCTTTTATTTTAGTTTGTCTTCTTATTTGCTTCGCTTGTGATCAGATGTCTTTCAAACCAAGGATGTTTAACTAACTTATGGTTAAGTTGAAGTTGAAGTTACGAATAGATTTGCTTTGATTTTTACCATGGAGTAATGTACCCTACGTGTAAGTTTGACTGATTTGCTTCAGTGTTTTTGTGCGTGTGTGGGCCTGCCAAAGGGGATCTGCTTGATATATATACCGATTTGGATTTGGCACATGTCCTATCTCTATCCCGCTACCCTTCCTCATCGTCCTTCTGCTGGGAACCGTTCTGCGCGCATTTTCAATGCAGTAAAGCTATGAGTGACTTATGGCCTGGCTTTGGCCAGATTTACCATTTTTCTTGGGTGGCTCAGGGGCTGGTTCAGAGTGGGTTGGGGTCGCTTATGCTTAAACTGTAGTAATATTTTAATTACGTGTATGTAGTTGTATTTAAATGTCGCTATGTACAATTCTGATCGATTTCTGTTATTGGTTTTCATTTTTGTTTTTTGTATTTTTGTAATCAGTAATCAGTAATCGGTAAGTTTGGGTATTTGTTTTTCTTTTGGTTTGCTTGGTAATCTGCGGTATTGATGCTTTTAAAATCTAGTTAAAATTGCATATGGCTGCGTCTGCTTTTATATTTTGGTAATTGGTTTACTTGTAGTAGGTATATACTTATCTCGCCTTTCATCTCGCTATCGCTTTCATCGTCTGCGTCTCGATTAGTCCAGTAATCGTTATCGTGATCGGTTGCTTGCAGTGTTTGATAATGCCTTGAGTTTGCTTGATCCTTGCTGATTGACCAACACTGGTCACATATGTCTCTGATTGGCTGGGTTTCCGTTTCCGGCTTTCGTTCTCCGTCCTGGTTTTCTGCTTCTTTTGCTGGTGCTGCTGCTCCACTTAATCTATATGCTTAGGCTAACTTAGTTCCTGGGTGTAAACTGTACCTGGCGACACACGGCAGCAGCAGCACGGCCGGCGAAAACGAGGAACGAACTTGCTCTTGGCCTATGGCTGATCCTTGACGGATCTTTTGTGTTCTTTTAGAATTTACCAACACCGAAAGGTTGCTCTGGAGAAACTAAACTCTATTCGCGTTCTTTTGGCTGCTCGAGAAGACGGAGGCCGAAGGGTGGTGGGCTTGGTGGCTTGAAGACTGCCGCGGCTGCTGTCCGCGGACGCCAGGATTTGCTGCCGCTTGGTTTGCGTCGTTCGATTAAGATGAATTATGGAAATTTCGCTTACCCTTCTCGTCTCTGGGCTCCACCGAGTAGTTGAGTTGTTCATTTATTTGTAGTAGATATTGTGGTAATTGGGTTAGTGAGGTGTGTGAAGGTGGTGGTGGTGTTGTAGTTGCCAATCAGTTCCAATTTTGCGGTGACAATTGCCGAAAGCTTCTGACGGAGTTTGGGGGAGAATTGAACCAAAAAGAGGGTGCTTTAAAGGTTGCCAAAAGGTTGAAAGGGATATCTTTTTGTTTGTTTTGTAATTTTGGTAAATAAAAATCCAAGCGCCGTCATTTGTTTTGTTTTCTGTTTTCTCAATTAATTTCGCTTTTATTAACCAATTATCGTTCGAGGCGGACCCTTTGGTGGCCCGCCCCAATGAATTGTTGACTTAAGTTTAAGTATGTATGTTTATGTTTAGTATAAATGTATGAAATATGTAAGTTGCATTATATATACGCAAGTGTAAGTGTGCTCAAGTGTCAATTGTTGGTACGCAAGTATGTTATATCGGTTCATTCGCCTTCCTTTTGAGGTAAAAACTTATGTGTGGAACTGAACAGAACAGAAAGGTTTGATTGCTCAATTTGGTAATAATTTTTGTCCTGAATTTCGACGGGTCTAGATATTGTTTCTTTATCGTGCTATTTCTCAAATTTCGCTTATAGATAAAATTTCGCCTAAAGTTTTTGTTAGCCAAACGTTTATTGTTAATTCGCCTTAAATTGCCTAAATGGGGGTTCGTCTCTCAATAATTTCGCTCGTCTCGCAATTGTCAATTAACTATTTTTACATCAATCAATAATTTCGTATGGCGACCTCTCGATGCGAGGTCGCACATATTGGTTTTATCCGAAACAATAATGCAGTTAGTTCGATTTTTAGGTTGTTGTTAGTTACTTTTCTATCACAAAATCAGTTACAATTGTATTTAAATCAATTTCATTTTCAATTCATTTTTATATTTTTAAATTTTCAAATTTCATCTCCATTGCCAAAAGCCACTTCCTTCGTAAATTTTGTAAAGGCATTAACAATCAACGCGTCTCTCTTGAATTTCGACTTCTGTCTGCTGTGAATTTTGCTTAAACTCAGGGGTTAAAGGGAACTCAACGGGTTAAAAGCGATAAACTTAAATCTCAGCTCGATTAGCGAATGCCTCGTCTGCCTCGTCAGCTTCTGCTTTGTACGTTTCCCTAAATACTAATTTCGCAAATGCAATTTTTGTGTTCTTTTCAGTTATCCAAACTTCAATTTTAATTTCAATTTCAATTCAATTTCAATTTCGATTGAAATAATTTCAATATCTTCTCTAACTCGCCTTAGATTAGGAAACTCACCGTCTTATACGCGACTAATTTTGCCATAATTATGCCAAAAATGCGATTTTGCTTAAAAACTCGCTTAGTTTTAATTTGGTTTTAGCTAAAATTCAACTATTGTTCAATAATTTCGTGATCATTGGTGGTGGCCGAAAGGTTTGCTGGGGTTCGACGATCTCCTCGTCTCCATCTTCTGCTCCTTATATAGCGGTGTCTTCCCATCTAATCTAAACTCCAACCTGAGGGCGCTAGGGTTCCGTTCCGGACGGGGGGCTGGGGTGCTGGCCAAATTAGGTAACTGACAAACAAACTAACTACTGGCTGGCTGGCTGGTTGACTGGTGAAGCTCCTGCAGGAGCAATTGTTGGGCCGAAATACTAAATTTCGCTTCGTTCGTTTCAGTCGAGGAATATGGTTTTGTTCTTTGCCGAATATTTGTTTCTTAAATGTTTAGCATGCTTCGATGATGTTTGTTTGTTGTTGTTGCAGTTGATGATGTTGTTTGCTGTTGCCGTGATGCAGTTGCAATTTGAAGATGGTAGACATTTGCAACTGCAGAAGCAACAGGGTTTGCCCGCCCCTTGGCCCCTAAAAAGTCGCCGGGCGGAGAGCAGGCAAACATATCCCTCTAAACCCGCCCACTTTCCATGCTGAGTCTGCTGTGCTGATGAGTGAGAAGTGCATGATCGATCTCAGCCAGCCAGATGTTTTGGAATAATAGTCACAGTACATAATACTTAATTAAAATCAAGAAGAATAAAAAACCATATTTATAAATTGTATTTTTTGGTGTTTCGTGTATATTTTGTTTTGTTGCAACTCAAGGCCAAGTAAAGTAAATTAATTAAACTAAACGTTAACTTAATTAAACGTATAAATTATTTACATAAATAACAGACTAGTGTGTGGTGTGTGTTTTGTGATGTGTGTGTGTGTTGATTATTCTATAAAATTAAGACGCACGTTCGTGTGTGACGCACAAAAGGATAAGAATTGATTAAAAATAAATCGTATTCAAAGGATTCATGTTAACAATTAACTTTGGTCGAAGGTCTTGCATAACGTATTGTAAATTATAAATTTAACTACCCTAACGCCCGCAGCTCGTACAAATTACTTTGGCTCTCGCTCGTTCGCTCTGCTTTTTTAAAATCTAAATACTTTTTTTCTTAATTTTTTTTTTGTAATTTTTTGTTTAGTTTCGCTTAATAGACATCGAATATATGCTTAGCGCTTAAAAGGGGATATAGCAACCTTAACTTTCGGGTGTTTTTTAATATTAAATCCCTATTTCCGGTCGTCAGAGCTGCGCCTGCTTTTGTAAAGCAGTGCGCAAGCTGTGAGCGCTCGATATGGGGCGGAAAACTGCTTACCGGAAAGTCGGTCAGCCAAGCAGTGCTTGTTCCTGTTTGGCAGAGCGACTTTCGCTCTCTCAAATGAACACACACTTTGTACCGTTATGAGCGTGTGTGTGTGTTAGGTGTGTGTTTGTGGAATGCTTTCGTGTGTGTGTGTGTGTTTAGTGTGTCAACTTTCGGTAGATCATTAAGACGGCTCAACTATTTGATAAATATTATTCATACGTATACGTAATCTGCTGTAAATATTTTCAAAAAAATTTCAACTAACAAACCAACGGCGAGTACAGTTTACACTGCCTGTAAAGTACGCTCGGTATGTGGGTGTTCTCAGGTGTGTGGCTCAGGTTTCATCAATTTGCACTATTTCACATTAGATTAAGACTTTTGCTGCTGCTCTACATGCTATGTTTCAGTTTTAGTAAATGTAAGAGGAGTCAGTGGAGGATCGATCTCCCTGGTTCTCTTCACATTCTAGTCGCTCATTTGCTGAGGTTCAGTGTTATTTGGTAATGTGTCTGTGTGTGTATGTGTTTCTTCTGGTTTTTTGGAAATTTTTGAAAAAATATTTTGCTTTGCTTCTAAACGCGTTTTCCTTACGATCAAAAAACTCTATCAAGTTCATCTAAATTCCGATTTTCAATGTGTTCTTTTTGTTGTGTGTTTCTTTTCGGCCGGGGAGAGTTGGTCATATCATATCCAGTCGTGCTTCTTACGCAGATTTAGCCTTTTAACTTTGGCTTGCGCTTCGCCTTCGAATGGCTGCTGCCGGGCCTGGAGTGGCTGGTGGTACTGGTGCTGGTGCTGGTGCTGCTGCTGCAATTGGTGGTGTTGGCCGGACTGATGGGCGGTGGCATTCCCATTCCCGTATGCGTATGCGGATGCGGATGCGTATGCGGCGGATGCAACAACGGCAGCGGCAGTGGCGGCAGGCTCGGCAGCGCCATCTCCTCCACTTATTCCAGCTGCTCTAAAAAATTGGGCGACTTGAAGTACTCGGGCACGGGATCGTCCATGCGCGAGATGATCTTGTATATGGACTTCTTCCACGACTGCTCGGTGTCTTTGCCACCCTGTATTGCACGGAAGAACTCCCGCAGTGTCTGTTCGACCACGAAGCGGAAATTCTGGGGTACCTGTGGACCGATTTGTTCTCGATTAGCGATTTGCTGGCTCCCAGTTGATTTCATCTGTTAGTTGTTGTTGTTAGTGGTTCTTACGGATTTGCCCACCGACTCGCGATCCAGCATCCACGCACTGTGTTTCGTGTGTGTGTGCATGAAGGATCGGTTCGGGCAAGGACATTGATTGGGTCATGTGTTAAGTGTTAGTGGGTGTCATGGGTGGTTGGTTTTTGGGCGTGGTTATTGGCATACCTCAATGTGGTTATTGCGATTGTAGTGCAAATTGAGCACGCGATACAATTCACTATCTCCAGCAATCAACAGATCATCGGGTGTCTTGATGCCTTCGGTGACAGCTTGTCGTGCATATTTCTCCATTTGTATGTAGTAGAATTCTCTGCAGATGCGTAGATGAGGAATATGTTTGGATTGGTCAGTATTCTGGTTTGTTGATTTCTTAACTATTCTATGGTGTGGATTTTTCTTATTTTATTTTTGTTGTTCAGCATTCAAATTTACAAAAATCGTACAAAATCGCAAACGCAAAACGAAAGAATAAGTAAGGCTCGAACCAAGGCGGAGGGGGATTGGAGTAAAACAATAGGGGGGGAAAGTCGTAAAAAGTGGTAAACCAAATTCAAAGAAAATCGCTAATGCTTCTCTTGCTTGCTCTCACTCTCGCTCTGATTCTAGAGGTCCCTTTTGCTGGCTTAATGCATTATATTGGATCGCTGTTTGAGTATGACATTATTAATAATTCGCTGCATACTCTTAGGCGCGCCCCAGGTCCTTCTGGATGTGTGTGTCTGAGTGTGGGGGTGTGGCTCTAGGGCTGTGTGTGTCTGTGCGGGAGTGTGTAAAGAATTTTTAATAAATCTCAAATGTGCAGCAGTAGCAGCAGCAGCCGCTCGTCTCATGGTGGTGCAATAACAATTGCAAGTCGAGGCGGCATCTTCTAGCTGCGGTTTCATCCCATTTTCCGGCAGCTGCCTTGGGGGCTGGGGATTTAATTAGCAAGTGCAGCGGGCTGCTGCTTCTGCTACTGCTGCGTCGCCTTGTTTAGTCAAGTGATTTGTGTGTGGGCTGCCATTCGCATGGGGGATATACCGGATACCGGAGGACCTTGTGGGGGTGGTGGCGATGGCAGATTCTGGGCTCTATATATATAGATATATTATGCCTTGCTTGGCAACTGTAAGTGATTGCTTGTCTTCCGGCCTGACTGCTCTCCCTCCCTACCTCTCTTCCTCTCTATCTCTTTGCTCCTCGCACGGATCCTGCATTGTCTGGCGCGCGCACTAATTGTTGTCTTTACGCTGGAAATCCTTTGGCTCTGCCTCTCTGCCCCTTGACAACGCTCCGATAATCGCGCTAATTTCAAGATTTCCCAGTAGCAGCGACAAATGCATTTCTCATGTTGTGCGAGTGCCGCTCGTGTTGATTTTTCCAAACAATAAGCGCAGAATGCGCAAATAGAAAATCTTTTCCTTCTGGCCCCCCCAGACCCAGTCGCTTTTTTTATAACAGCCAGCTCCCCGGAGGCGGCAGCACTTGAACAGCGGGGGGGATTGGATTGGGATTTGAAGCTGGCCGGGAATAATGAGGCTAGGCTGTTGGCTTGGCTTCGCTTTGCTTTGCTTGGCTTGGATTGGATTGGCCGAAAGAAAGGCATCGCTTGGGTGACAGCTCTCGCGCTCTGTCTGTGTGTGTGAATTTCACACAAGTCCATTGTGCGGCGGGTGTCCATAGTTATTAGGGATTGTTGGGATCTCATCCGTTCGCGCTTGGAATTGCGCGCTGAATTGCAATTAGCTTTGTGGCTGGTGCGGCAAGGGCTTGAGGCGATCCTTGTGCTCACACACACACTCATATGGGGCCGGGCAGGAAAAGGAAGCTGGGCGCTTTCGAATGCGCCACTTAATTTAGATAATAAGCCGTGCAAGTGCAGATGCAGATGCAGATTGCAATTGCGGCAGTTGCCGTTGCGGAATGCTGTTGCTGGCGTTGGGGCTTGACGGAAGTGCTAATTAGTTTGCATATTATTTTTCGTAGCCTATTTATTTGGGCCTCGCACCCACACACGCCGAAAGAGATACGGAGAGAGGGAGAGAGCCACTGAAACACTTGTTGAAAGGCAGGCAGGCGTTGCTTTGTCAAGAGCATTCATCTCACCACCCCGTTTTGCATGTGTGTGTGTGTGAGTGGTGTGCTCGTGTGTCTGTATGCGTGTCGATGTGTACTTGTGTGTGAGGAGGTGGTGCTTGTGTGCATGTGTCTCCTTCTTCGCTGCACCTTCTTTCTTCATCATCATCATTATCATTATCATCATCATCATCTTCATTGCCGCTTCCGCAATCAATTTGCGAAATCGTATGCATTTCACGAATATGTTTATTAATAAGCTCACACATACTCACCCACACATATGCAGACATCTCTACCTCATACATTAATGAAGTAATTGGCAACACTTTGGTATTTGTATCTATATATAAGCATCTGTACACAAGTCATATACGTCTATATACATACAGGATGGAGCAAGTATCGTATCTGAGTGTGTCTGTGTTTTCGTCTGTGAGTGTGTCTCGTGAGTGTATGTGTTGTGTTCACATATACAAATGTATCGAAGTACAGCAAGAAGATCTTTTTCACGCGACGAGGAGAGCGGGGCTAGAAATGCGGGGGGAGGAGGGCGCGGAATGGGTGAAGCGCCAAAAGGACACTTAACCTCAAAAACAAAATAAAGGAAAGTGGCTTGATGAGAAACAAAAAGCGTAAAAAGAACAGCGGGAGATGTAGATGTGTGTGCGTGTGTGTGTGTGTGTGTGTGTGGGCGTATCCTTGAGCGCCTTTTGCCAGTAGGGTCCTGGCCATTGTGCTCGAGACTCTCAAGTAGCTGAGCGCAGCCATGAAAGGCGGCCGAAAGAAGCCCGCTGAATATATATGTATGTATATGCGCCGGCAAACAAACTAATTAGCCCGCCAGGACTCTGCTGAATGCAGGTCCTTTTGCCGCTTTCTTTTCATTATTTGCATTTTGGCGAGCTAACAAAACGAAGTTACTGCAGCTAATGCAATTATATAAGTGGCCTGCTTGAGGACCTCGAACAAAAGCCACTTTTGTTAATTAGCCAACACACACACACACACACATGTTGGATTCTATGAGTGTGTGGGCGCGAGCGAGATTGTGAGTGTGTGTGGGGAGCATGGGCGGCGCACTTAAGTAGGCAACACTTTTTAATATGCCCGCGCCACAAGTTTCTTGGGCTTCCCCCAGCTTTCCGCTATTTTCACACTTGACTGTAACTCTCCAGGCAGGCAGGCTGGCTGTCAGTCCTTCGAGTGGCTCATCCTGCGAGTCTCATCTCATCTCTACCAGGAAAAGGGAGCTCCTAGTCCCGGCACTTTTCTTAAGAGCCCACTTTGGCCAACATGTTATTAGAGCCCTCGGCCCAGTGTCTATATATGAGATGTGTGTGTGTGTGTGTTATGATGGGTGTGAGCGGTGAGTGTGGGAAACTCATAATATTAACTAGTGGCTAGGAGAGAGCAATAAAGCTGTTAAAAATATTCATTTCCCGCTTTAATGTCGGGGTAAAGCGATTACAAGAAGGGAAAGCATTCTCTTTCCCTTTTCGAGAAGAAAAACAAAGGATACGAAACGAAATCTCACATGATAAGAAACTAAACGTAAAAAAAACCGTTACTACAAAGCTACCCCTAAGAAAACGAAAAGAATGAAACAATCAGAGAACCAGTTAGAAAATCAAAAAAATATTCCCACCCATTTTAACCTCTCCGCCCCAAAAATAAGTCAAAGTCGAGCGGAGAGACAAGATGCCGATGCCTATTCACCGATTCCCAGGCAAAATATAGGGTTCGCTAATGTTAACTTGCGGCGAGAAAAGGGATTGCAACCCCCAAGAAATCCCCTTGGCCAGAAATTCCGATAAACCCCGAGCGTGCCGGTTCTTGATTTGTTGTTGTCTTTTGTGTTCTGTGTGCGCAGTGTGCGCAGGTAGGGAAATCCTCGGGGCAGGGGTATTTCTTCGGGGTGTCTCGAGGACAATTCCTTAAGACGTTGCGCATGTCTTAGACAAATCAGAGTCGAAGGCAGCTGCTAAGCCGGCGATGAAAGAGGGTTGGAAGGTTCAGTCTGAGTCTCATTCTCAGTCTTAGTCCAGGTGAGACCCTGTGCCACGCTCTGTTTTCTTTCTATTTGTTGTTTTCCCTTCCGTTTTTTTTTTATTTCGGGGCGGACAGATGCAGCCCGGATTTGGCGCGCAAATCACAGGGACTTCATGCGGGCCTACCTCACTTCACCTTGGTTATGAAACTCGGAATACCGAGCCGATTCCTTCGGTTCACCCCGACTCGTGTGTAGTCCTGCCCGGAATCCCCCGAAATATCGCGGCAGCTGTCGTTTTTCCTTTAGTTTTGCTCATGTTTTATTTTTTGGCAACTTCTTGCGCAATTTCACGGACTGACAGTTGGAGTCGCGGAATGACAGCAACAATGGGGGTGTTGCATGTGGGCCGGGGAACTCCTTCTTGAGTGCAAGTCGAGGACTTCGACAGGTGGCTGTCTGACTTTCGAGGCTATCAATTTGCCCACCCAAAACATAAACTTAATATCAAACTCAGGCGACAAACGAAATCATAAAAATGAATGCTGTTCCAATAAGGCTATAGGCTACAATGTATGGATTGTTAATTGTCAACTTACCGGAAGTTTGAGAACCATTTCACCAATTGTGCTGTGTTATTCTTGTTGAACTTGATGTCCGGGAAGTACATCTTGAGCACCGCGGAGCTGGGGTAGCGCACCCAGAAGAACATCAGCTTGGCCTTGCGCAGGTGCATCGGTGTCAATGTAGAAGAGTGCAAAGGAGTCAAGGATTCGCAATGTCTGGTGGCGTTATAGATATGGGATATATAATATGAGATAATTGTCTGATGGTCGATTGTCTTTCCAAATTTCCATGTTCGTGTGTGGCAGAGCTCGACAAGCTATAGTTTCTGTATGTGATTGGGGGGATAGAGAGTGTGAGAGAGAGATTCCATTCGATTCGATGGGATTGGATTGGCAACGTCTAACGTGGCTGCACTTTCGAGTGCCAATAATGAATGTCTAAGGGTGCCACCTCCTGCTCGCCTGCTTGCCGTGCCCCCAGCTCCTCCTTGAACCCACTGATTGAAAAAAAGCTAAAGCTCAGTCGAGAGCGGATAGGGAAGGAGGAGCACACGGAGCGGGGCAGGGGTGCCCGGCCAAGAGGCCAACGAGTGCAGCTCTTTCGATTGGCTGCTCGTCATTGATTTTTTCCATTTCTGTGGCTGTTGCGAAATGCAACTCAAGCCAGGCCAAGTCGATGATGATGATGACTTGAGGGACCGCCTGGGGGTCTTTTGGCCAAGGGGGCTAAGAGTGCCACAAGAGGACGGGGGCAGGGCAAGGCGGGGCAATAAATAAGGTTTTGATTACATTTTATAAAAGAATTTAGTTGGGGAAATAAATAAACTGAAGAAGACACTTGATTGGTTTCGTTTTGTAAGCGAGGTCCGGGTCGGGTTAAGTACCTTCTCGCCCCGATACCTTTACCCTCTGTTCCTCTCTCTCTCTATTTCTCTATTCCCACAATCCCTGCCAGCTCTGGCACACACTACAATTCGGAATGGGTGGAAACTCACTTGACCATCAGCGACTCCGGCTCGGAACCAAATTGCATGTGCTTGTAAAAGGATATAGTAGGCTGCATGCCATCGAACTGCATGTCGGCCGAGTTGCACTCGGATTGGCGATCCTGGGCGTCCATGACGGCCCGCAGGCAGGTCTTGTAGTCGGGCGATCCGCCATGGTGGGCGGCTGCCAGCAGGGCGGGATGCAGCATCGACGGCGGGTGGGGCAGCGGCGGTGAGTCACGCGAGTCCATTAGCGCCCCCAGGCTGCCGGGCGGACTCGAGGACAGTTGCATTTGCTGGTGGTGCGGGTGGTGCTGTTGGTGGTGCTGCTGATGCTGATGCAACTGGGCGGCGGTTGGCTGGCCAGGAGCCGCATGCGGATTGAAGAACGGCGAGTAAGGTGAAAAGACCTTGGACTCGTGCAGCGACGGATTGGGAATGGCCACCGAGGTGGGCAAGGACACCGGCATCATGGGTGGTGGTGGTGGCGGCGGTTGTGCGTGGTACGCAGCTCCTCCGCCGCCCCGTGTAGGACTTTGGGCGGGCGTGGCATTGCTATTACCGCCATTTGCCGTCTGTTGCTGCTGCTGCTGTTGTTGCTGCTGCTGCTGTTGTTGTTGCTGCTGCTGCTGCTGCTGCTGGGGCGTGGCTGGGGGTCCACCGGTGGGCGGCACAACGCCATCCTGCGCCAGGATACGGCTAACGGTGCGCGGGGTTATGCGCGTATCGGTGACCTTATGGCGCTTCTTCTTAGGAGTGACCACCAGGCTAAGGGCCTCGTTCTGCTCCAGCTGCTGCTGCGTTTGCTGTGCACTCTGCTGCTGCTGCTGGGCGGACTGTTGCTGGGCGGACTGCTGCTGCTGCTGTTGCTGCTGATCGGGCGGCAGGCAGAAGGGTCCGGTCATCGAGTTGTAGAGCGCGGCGGCGGCCACCGGATTCATTCCCTGCGGCGTCTTGGGCGCCTGGAACATGGCAGCCGCTGTGGGCGAAGGACGAATGTGAGGAGGTGGAATATTAAGGGTACTTAAGCTATTGTTAGTGGAATTCGCTGGCCCGCCGGCCGGGTTAGTATTGGCGCCGGGATGATCTCCCGACTGCTGTTGCTGCTGCTGCTGCTGTTGTTGCTGCTGCTGCTGCTGGGCGGACATGGCTGCTGCGGCGGCGGCATGGTGCATCTGCAATCCCATGGCCGCTGCTGCAGCGGCAGCGGGCGAGGCAAAGGACAGCTGGCTGCCATTGAGGCGGGGGGCGGCGATTAGCTGCTGGCAGTTGGGCGGCAGCAGGGGATGCGCTTGCTGCTGCTGCTGCTGCAAATGCTGCTGCTGCACTGCATTTTGCTGCTGCTGCTGCTGGGAGCCCGGATGCTGCTGTTGGGCACTCGGCGGCTGTTGCTGCTGCTGCGGCGCATTCTGCTGCTGCTGCTGCTGCGCACTCGCACCGCTCGCGGGCGGTTGGGAGGGCATCTGACTATTAGCTAGGAGTAGTGAACCATTATTACCTGATTGTGTTGCGGGCGCGGGTCCGTTCTGGGGCCGGTCCGCCACCTTGGTGCGCGGCGACTTCCTGTCGAGGATCTGCGATGCCAGCAGCAGGTCCTTGTTGAGCTGCTCGGCCGCTGCCGTCACAGAGTCGGCCTGCTTGCTGAACAGCCGTCGCTGGTGGACGAAGCGTGTCACGATGGTGTCCACAAGTGCGGACAGCGAGGTGGTGATCTCTGACTTGAGCACGTCGGCTAGTCCCTCGAGGTCTGTGCCAGACATGCGCATCATTGAGCTGTTATTGCTGTTGCGCAGCATCTGAAACTTCTCGGACAACTCCGACTTCAGAGCGCTGTGGGCCGCAGCTCCGCCCATTCGCGTGGGCAGGCGGGCGGGCGCCGGGTGGTGCATCTGGGGACGCGGCGCCGAGGTGACCACGTGCTGTTGCTCCATCTGCTGCTGCTGCAACTGCTGCAGGTGCTGTTGTTGGCGCTGCATCTGCTGTTGCTGCTCTTCCTTGCGGCGCTGCTGCTCTTGCTGCTCCTGCTCGAAGCGGCGTTGCTGCTCTTGCTGTTGCTGCTGTTGTTGCTGCTGCTGTTGCTGCTGCTGCTGCTGCTGTTCGGCAGCCTCCTTGGCCATGCGAGCTTCTTGCTCGAAGAAGAACTGTTGGTACATGGCAGCCGCGTGCGACATATCGCCCATGTGCTGCAGCAGCGGTGGGAATCCCTGGGGCAGGCCGGGATGGCCCACGCCAACCAGTGGATTGTGCAGCTTACCGGACATCATCTTGCTCATCATCTGGGAGAGCATGTTGGCGCTGGAGTCACTGCTCTCGCCAAGCACCGTCTTGGGCTTAATGGGCGAGGGCGCGGGCGAGCTGGAGCCGGGTCGTTCCTGACCCGCCTCCTCCTTGTGGCCGGGACTGGCGTCTCCGTCGCCGGTCAAGGTGGGTGAGGGCGACAACTCGATGTGGTCGCTGCTGCCGTTATCCGGCTCCTGCTCTTGCTCCTGGTCGACATCCTGGTCCTGGTCAAGCTCCTGGCATTCCGATTCCTGCTCCATCCGCGTGCACAACTGCACATACTTTTGCTGCATCTCCGCCAGCTGCTCCTGCATGGAACGCAGCTGCGACTTGAGGGCATTCTTCTCCACGCGCTTCTGTTGGATCTGCGGTGACTCCAGCTCGTTGGACTCGCTGTCGTCCTGGTCGAGCATCATGCTCTGCAGGTTCAGGCCAAAGTTAAGACCTGCGGCTGCGGCCACATACCGCTCCATGGCATGTTGCTGCGGCTGGTAAAGCTTACGCTTCTTGCACCCATTCACCTGGAGCTGTCCGGCCTGTGTCAATCCCGAGGACGGGCTGCACCGCATTCCGGAGACAATGTTCTCCACGCGAGCCCGTTTTAAGTCCTTACCGGGTTTCTTTAGGCATCCGCTTCCAGACTCACGCTTCTGCTCCACGCAGTCATCATCGTCGTCGTCGTCAAGGACATCGTCTTTGCTGTTATCTAGCAGCATCATGTCCGAGTGGCTGGGCGAGGCCAGGCTGTCCAGATCGGATCCCCGCGAGTGCAGGTTCATTAGCTCCACCTCGTCCAGCATATCGTCCTCGGTTTCCTTTTTGGTGGGCAGCTGCGGCTCCTCGGGAGCTCGGCTTTGGGAACGCTGACGCGTTTCCGCTGCCTCCTCCTCATGCTCGGCCTCGTCCGGCGCTCCGTGGCTGTCCAAGGAGTCGGAGGACTTGCGTCGCAGGCTGCCATCGCTGGCCAGGCTGCTGTGGCTTCCAGTGCCACTTCCGCTCCGGCTGCTGTGGCTGCTGCCATGCGGTGATTGCTGCGGCACTGGGGCCGTTTGTGGCTCACTCTTGATCTTGATATCGACAATTTCCGAGTCCTCAATTAGGCTGATGCTCTCCATGTTGTTGTTGTTGTTGTTATTGTTGTTGGTGGCAGCCACAATATTATTATTATTGTTATTGTTGTTGTTGAGCTTGGAGTGGAGTTGCTCCTTGTCCTGGAGCTGCTGTTGCTGCTGCTGTTGCATGGCTGTGCGCAGTTCCTGGTCGAGTTGCATCAGCTCCTTCTTGCCCTGCAGTATGTTGCGCAGCATGTGATGCGCCACCAGATCGTGCTGCAATTGTTGCTGCTGCTGCTGCTGATCCCCACTGCTGGCTCCGCCATTTAGCGAACTTACTGAAGCTGCTCTTGGTGGTGATCCTCCGGCCACATCTGCGGCAGCTGCCTCCATTGAACGATCACTGCACGCCGACACTCGACGACTGCCCTTGGGCGAGGAGTGACTGGAGCTGTGGGCCGATCCTGGCGAGATCGAGGCATTGGTGCCATTGCTCATCGGAGCACTATTCGCTGGCGCAATGCTATTGTTGTTGTGCTGCTGCTGAAGCAACTTGGACGTGGAATTGAGGCTACCGATCAGGAGCTCGGCACTGGTGGCCGTCTCCATGGCAGCGGCCAGCATGGCGTTATCTAAACTCTGGGGCAGGCCACTGGTGGCGTCCTGGGCCTGCTTCATCTGGCGGCCAAATAACTCGTTCAGCATCTTGGCCGATGAGCCGCCGAACAGGTTGCCGAAGGCGGCCGTCAACAAGGACGAGGCGGAACTGGCGCCCGAAACCGAAACCGGCGAACTGCTCGTGGGCGAATGGCTTAGCTGAGCGGCGGCTGTGGCGGAAACGGATGCTGCCGTGGCAATAGCTGGCGCGGATGGGGCCGAGCTGGCCGATTGTGGTTGGAACAGGGCTCCTCCACCAGCGGCACCCGCAGCAGCCGCGGCAGCGCTACTCATGAAGCCAGCAGCGTTGCTGTTACTCTGGTTGCTGCTGCTATTATTGTTGTTGTTGTTGCTGCTGCTGCTGCTGCTACTATTGTTGGTATCTTTGCTTAAGGATCGCGGACGCGAGCGACGATTCACTTTACTATTATTTGTCGCGTTGCCGTTACCGTTGTTGTTGCTATTACTTGTACCGATATTATTCGAATTCACGTTACTCGTCGTTACGTTCTTTAATGTTGCAGTTACTAAAGGTTTTTAGCCGCGCACGTTGTTGTCTTGCCGACGGCCGTTGACTGACTGATTTGCCGACTACTGCGGGCGCTGCGATGACTACGACTGCTGCCGCTGACGCTGCCACCACTGCGATTACAATTGTTCGCCGTTGTTGCCGTTGCCGTTGCCGTTGTCGCCGCAGCCTTTGCCTTGCTGTTGCTGTTGCTGCTGGCGTTGCTGCTGCTGCTGCTGCTGGCTTCGCAGCCTTCGAGCACGACCACGACGTCGTCGTCGGAATCGTCAGATTCGCCGTCGCTGTCCGTTGCTTTCTCCTTCTCCTTTAGCTTCTTGTGCTGCTGCTGCGGTTGCTGCCTGTTCTCTGGCTCTCGCAGCACTTTCTCTTCAATGTCTGTGTTGGCGTTGTGTGTGTCTGTATTGGTGCTGGCGCTCTCGCCGCAATTCGCCGCGCTGCCTTCTCCGTTGGTCTGTACTGGTATGGGCGACGTGTGTCCGTTGCTGTTCGGCAGCAGCGGTGGTTGTAGTTGCTGTTGTTGCTTGACCGTTGTCTCCAACTCCGTGGTCGCCTTCAGCAGCACGTTGTTCTCATCGCTGTACAAACCAAAACAGTCCGCGTCGTATTCCTCTGATGACATCATAAGATGATGCCCACCAGCAGCAGCAGCTCTCTCGCCTTGCCTTGCCTCTCCCTAAGCCTTGCCTGCTGCTCCGGTTAGCTGCTGTTGCTGTTGCTGTTCCCCGCTTGGCTGCCCTGCTGCGGATTGGTCGGTTATCCCTACCAACTTGACACTTCCCCTTCGCCGCAAAGACAGCGAGAGAGTGATTGCGAGCGAGAGAGTATTCGCCGCGGCGTATGCGTGATTTCAAGTTTAAGTCCTGGCTGGCGGCTCTAGCAAGCCCAAAGTAAAGAGTATGTCCCTATATCCGAGTTCGAGTTCGAGTCCTGTTTCGCTGTGTGCTGCTGCTTAGTTCAAAACCTATCCTTTTCTGGCTGCCTGGCCGCGATGTCCTTGCTGATGCTGCCTCAGTTGTTCTTGTTGCTGTTGTTGTTGTTGTTGTTGCTATAGTTGTTGCTGTAGCGCCAAACGTTGAAATTTTGCTGTCGCTCAACTTTCTGGTCGAAATAATGTTCCAGTTCAAAAGTGTTCGTCTCCTTCTGGCCGCTGCTGACAGTCTGTCGCCGATTTTGCGTCTGCGTTTTCTACGTTTTTTTCTGCGTTTTCTAATTGTGAATTTTGTTTTGAATTTTCGTTCCACCACCACACACATGCGAATGTCCTTTGCATTTAATTTTATTTAGCTTTGATTTGTGTTTCCTTGCGTGCTGCTGTTTCGTCCTGCAATCTCCGCCAGCTCTGCTCCAATCCTTTCCGCAGCTTTCCTTTGATTTCACTCTCTGAAATAAGTGTTTTCTTGCGAAATGATTTCTCGAGATTTTGTTTCGTTTTCGTTTTTTGGTTTTATGTTCGTTTTTGGTTGATTTCCTTTGTCGTTTTTTGGGTTTTAGTTGGTTTTTAGTTTGGTTTTTGGTTTGGATTTCGTTTTGAATAATCCTTGCTTGCGCTCAAAAAGTCTTTCTGTAAAATTAATGGTAGGCGTGGGTTAAAGTATCTGCTGGATGCTCTCGGAGCCAAAGGGGGAAAGGGGTTACTCGGCTGGGAAAGTGAAAGTGGCTGGCCAAAAAGGCTTTGGTTTGGGTGCACCACTCGATTGGTGCTCGGTTTGGGGGGTGGGAAGGGGGCTGTCCAGGCATGGGGTGGCTTCTCCCAGTGGTGTCGTCCTTAATTCAGCACCCTCGACGACTTCTCCCACCCCCTCAGACAAGGGGGTTTTATCTAATTTCTCCACTCGAATGTGTATATGTACCCGCCCCCTTTCTGCTTTGTGCGGCAACAAATAAAGATAAGTCACTTCGCTTCGTTTTCGCTGATAAACAAGTTTGACTTACTTTCCTCTGTTACAGATACACAGATACACGGATACACAGGCACAAACAGTGCCGCAGATACATAGATACTTTGCATATGGCCATGGGTCGAATGCGTAAGCACTCGAAATAATCAATAAGGGAACTTTGGAACTTGGGGAAATGCGTCAAAGCATCGACCATAGTCATTGCCATCGATCGATCACGCCGTCGTGTATCTTTGAGCTCTCGGAGCCATGTGCAGTTCCAAGAACATCGGACCACGGCCTAGAATCCTCCCCTTTGACAGACTTTGATCATCATCTCTTTTGGAGGGATTTTGTTGTACCCCTTTTGCAGGGTATTGTAATTTTAGTTAGAAGCCTAAAACATTGTGAAGGACTCATTTCCGACCCTATAAATCAATTATATTCTTGATCAGCATCAACAGCTGAGTCGATCTAGTTATTTACGATGAGAAAACATTTTTTCGAAATTTTTTGGATTTAAGAAAAAAAAAAATAAAGATTTTAATATTTTAAAACTTTACATTGAGTTTGCAGATTTATAAACATTATTAAAACTATCATGGGAAAGATTCGAATTAAAATTAAAGCTTTTTTGACTTAGTTATGACATTTTTAAACTTTGATAATTCCAAAAAATTTGAATTTATAAATATCTATATAAAAATACTCTTGCAGGGTATTATTATTTAATTCAGAAGCAGAAAACACATCGAAGCAGTCATTTCCGACCCCATAAATCATATATATTCAACATCAGCGTCAAAGAGCGAATCATGTCCAGTCAAAAAATTGATTTTCAAAATTTTTTCAAAATTTCATAAAAAGATAAGGGTTAAAATCGTTAAAATTTTCAAAAATTAGTACAAAATTTTATTTTTTAAAATGTTTAATTTAGTACGCTGATTTATTAACATTATAAAAACTAACGCTGGAGTGATTTCTGAATTGAAATTAATGCACTTTTGGCTTAGATACGAGTTATTTAAACTCTGATTTTTCGAAAATATGTTATATAAAAATATTAATAATTATCAATTCAAAGAATGCGAATAGTTTTAGATTATTTATTGATTGGTTTTTGATTCGGTCCTATAATTCCAAATCAAATTTATGGGAAGCTCAAAATACATTTTTTAAAAAGAACAAGAAAAAAAACAATATATAAACTATTCTCCTTCCGATCATGTCCCATGATCAGAGTTCCAAGAACGTACCACAAAACCCGAATCCTCCCCGTTTTCATTAAAATTACATTCGACCTTAACTTCAATTGCGAGTGCAATGGAATGCAGCCCGAGTCAATGTCAATAGAAGCCACCCCTCGCCGTTCTTCGATCCTTTTCGGCGACTGTACTTCCAAAGGCTTGCAGCTTGCAAGGATAATTCAGAGAACCGAAAAGAACCGACAGCCAAGAGGGCGAGGAAAACAGCCACCCCTATGCGAGGGTCCTACAGGACCTACGGGACCCATTAAGTCGGGCTTCGGAAGGACAGGGCAGGGTAAATAAGAATTCCTATGCACAGCAGATCGAGATATTGAAAATTGTTCAAAATTTACCACAAACAAAGCGTTATTTTTCTCTGTCGTCCATCATAGATCCTCCTGGAAAAGATAGAGAAGAGAATTGTAAATTTAATTGTAGTCAGATAATATTTACTATATGAATATAAAAACGTTTAAATACTATCTAAAGTTATTTTGCATTCCCAAAGTTTTATCAATAGTAATAATAAAATTCTTAAAGAAATGCTTGCAAGATGTTTCGTATTCCCCATCATTTGTAAATTATCTCAATAGTTCTTTTTTCGGAGGCGTTTTCTTCCGCTTTGTAAAGTAAAACTAATCAATGTCAGATTTCTAGGAGTATTAACATGTTCCAAAAGAAGTAATTATGAACAAAATTATATTTACAAATTAGAATTCAGATAAAGAACATGATAGAGAACTCCAAGTCCTCAGTTCTTTTCTCTACTATATCCTATCATATGTTTAAAGACTGAACCCACGTGCCCGTATTCTTAACTCAAGGGAAAACTACTTAATTGCCTTGTTATGGGTACACAACCTTGTCTTCAGGAACGCTTTTCTTAGACACTCTTGTATCTATCGCTGCATTAGACAGTTGGCATTCACAAGTTCAATGCACCTAGGGACCTGGGTTTGGTCTCGGAGCGTTATCAATAGAGGTAAGCAGGCCCTTTCAACTGCAACCCCTCGAGGAGCTATGCTAGAACATATGGTGGCGCTGGCAAGGAAAACTAGGACCAAAAGAAAGTTGCCAGCTGAGGCGAACTTCCACCTACGAGCGAACAGCAGCGCAGATAACTACGACCTTAACACATTTTTGTTTGTATTTTATTTTATGAAAAAGAACGCTAAACGCGACTTGCCGTACTTTGCATGCGCTGGCAATGAGGGAGGAGCAGCGAGGAGCTGCGAGGGATGGCCAGGGGATGGAGTACATGTATCTCAAAGTGTGCTTTGGAATGTGCCTTCACAGATCGCGGCACACGGTAATGTGCTCGTCGCCGCACAAGCGAGCGAAGTGTGGCACGGCCATGTGTCTCTCCTCCTCGTGGTCGGGTGTCATCATTAAAATATGCTTTTGGCTTGGCCCAAAGAGGGTCTGCCGAGGGAGGGGAGGGGTCGGACACTCTGACACGGTCAAGTGACTTTAAAATCCGTTAAAAACACAAAAAAGTGTCCCCAAAAAGCGAACGAGTGGCAATTAGGCATTATGATTCCGCTTCAAAGATTCATTTTCCAACATTAAATAGCAATCTGTCGGGCTGAGAGATTCGCTTGAATTGTGGGATTGGAAAATGGGAAATAGGAAAATGCGAAACCCTCAGAGAATCTGCAGCCCCTATGCCAAAATCGGATGCGGAAGGAAGCGATCGCCAGAGCCAACAGCTGATAATCTCAAATAATTGCTCACTGGCAGGAGGAGAGTGGTTGATGCACTCGAAGAAAATAAAGAGAAATCTATATTAATTTTGGGAATAAATATAAGGAATTAATCAAGAAATTAAAGAGATTATTGCTAATCTTGTAAATGAGTTACATTTTCTACAAGATATTTATTAGTATTTCAAATTCCTTGAATATTTGCCAAGTAAAGATACAAAAGTATCTCATTATATTATATTTATTCCTATTTAAATGAAAGGAAATTCTTTTGAGTTTCTTGTACAATCTACTAGCATTTTGTCCAGTGTAAGAGTTATGGTTATGGCACGAGCGAAGAGCGATGATCGGAGCACACCTGGACTCCGGTGTCTATGCCTCAATGCGCGTGCGCACAAGCTGGCGATCGCAGCACGAGGAGAGGAGGAAGAATAGGAGGAATAGGAGCCGGAGAAAGAGAAGGAGGCAGAAGGCAGAAGGCAGAAGGAATCGAGGAGGCATAGAACCGAAGCCAGGCAGACGGAAACAAGGGGCGTGCATCGGTCGGTGGTAGTTGACATTCATCGCACCGGGAAGCGATTTCTACCTGATCCCAATGCTATTTGCCTAACGGGTGGTGCTCCGGAAGTTGTCGGAAGTCGACGACATCGATAAAGTTCAGAGAAACACCTTTCAACTTGTTTTGGCATTCGAATCCAATGCAGTTGCAGTTCCACAACTGGGCGGATAGAAGTGGGAGACGACTCCTAATCCTGCCACAAACACATTAAAATTATGTTGCCACACACAAAGTTTTTTGCTGGCAGACTCCACTTTCCACCAGAATTGGCAGAGCCGGCAACTTTGTGAAGCGAATTGTGCTAAAAGAAAATGTCCTTCTCCAGCAGCGGCTGTCTCAGTCAGGGATTTTATGCGAAAAGTTTTGCACGGAACTTGCCAAAAGGCAACTGCCGCTGGCGGGATTGCAATGCAGTAAACTCGAATTATTATGGTGTCAGAGCCCAGCCTCAGTTATTGTTATGACCACTTTTTGGAGGAGGAGCAGGAGCAGCCACAAGAGTTGGAGCCGGTGGTGCACGCTTCTTGGCTAAGCCCTCGTCTGGCAGATAAGATACAGATAGATACTCGAACATGAAAATACTCTCACAGATATCGGGCCTTTTGCTCGCCATATGGTCGGTTATAGATACCGAAGTCCGTGCGATACTTTCGAGTGGAGCAACCGGGCAAGGTTTTCCCGCTGCACTTAGTCGGGAGAAAGTAGGTTGGTCGGAGCCACCTCAG